GCTCCTAAACTTGGATACCACCATTTGGGGCTACAAAGATCTCATCAAAAAAGTAAAGTGGTTAACGAGCAATATGAGAGTTGAGGTAAAATGGGTTAGTAGGTCTGCTAATTCTTTGGTTGATGTTTTAGCCAAACAGGGGGTTTTGTGCTTCTTTGTAAGTTGTTATTAATTTGGAAATCTGTACTTAACTAGCCCGGAGAGGTTGCAACTTGTGCCTTTCCTTGGGGACTTTGTACTATTGTCTATTGCTGATTAATAAAATTATTTTAATTATAAAAAAAAACAATATTAGTCTTCCTTATGGTTGTTAATCCTTAAAGCATTTCTCATTCTTGGTGCTGTAATTCTATCTTACACTACATATATTCACAGGACATGTATAAAAAAGCAGCTGAATTTTGGGCAGAATTGCGGGTGGAACTACTGTCAGCAAGTGCTGTTCTACCTGATGATAAGCCTAACTCAAGTCAATTGTGGCGATTATACTGGGCAAGTCATCAGGTATAAATTAGTGGAGTTTCTATTGTTTGTTTGTATTCTCTGGAATATGTGCATGAAATATTTCATTTTTGTGCTTTCTGTTGCTTCTGTTTGTGTTTTGGTAGCGTTTCTTTAGACACATGTGCATGTCAGCTAAGGTGCCTGCATCTGTGAGGCTGGCTAAGCAAGCCTTAATGGATGGCAAATGTGTGGTAATTGGGCTTCAAAGTACTGGAGAGGCACGGACAGAAGAAGCTGTTACAAAATACGTATGCATTTCTTGTTTCATATTTTTCTTGACTATGCATCTTCTCTCTGCTACCATGAAGACTGATGTTTGTTTTCTTGTAGATTGCTTATTTTATTCTTCATATTTTGTCCTGAAGCAGGGTCTTGAACTTGATGATTTTGTTTCGGGTCCTCGTGAATTGTTGTTGAAATTTGTTGAAGAAAATTATCCTCTGCCTCCAAAACCCGATGCACTTTCAGGTACATGCAGTTTGTATGTTCTGCTGTCTTTAGATGGTTTTCTCTTGCCTTCTGGACTAGAATGTCTCTGAATCTGGTTGTAGGGGAGGAAAGTGTCAAGGAGCTTCAAAGAAAGAGGCATTCAGCAACTCCTGGTGTCTCATATAAAGGAAGAGTGAGAAAAGTTGCAAAGTGGAAAGCTGCAAGTGATGGTGAAAGTGACGAAGAATCTGAAAGTGAGTTTTTAGAACTGAATGGTGATTTTAGCAACATCCATGCATTTTACCAAACATATTTAGTGTATTTACTTGGGGGCCAGTGCTTGGTGCAATGGTAAAATCTTGGGCTGAGAAGTGTGAAAGTGCCTGTTCAAATCTTTGGCCACTTTGTGGCTTTTGTGCAAAAAATGTCAATGGTTGGGTTCATATCTAGCCTACTCATCACTATGATCCTGCATGGTCAGGACTAATATTGGGTAATGCCTGTTCAAATCTGTGGCCACTTTGTGGCTTTTGTGCAAAAAGTGTCAATGGTTGGGTTCATATCAAAATATGCACATAGTACCTTTATTTGGAATTTGTTGTTTACATTCGTTTTCATATTTTCTCATTACTCCTCTTAGGTTATACATTGTTATCCTTGAGGTTTAAATATCGGCTGTACTAAATTCCATGGGAAATGGAAAAATATCTTGAAAATTCATTTAGCGTATTGACTTGGGGAAAATATGAATATGTTTAGGAAAGTTGGCGAGACATGAGAGAATAATTATAGCTATGTTATGTTAAATACAATGTTCTTTCTCTCTCTCTCTACCATAAAACTTAAGGAAATGCCACTGAGAGGTAAGACCGTAAGAAACATGGATAAGGAATGACAATGTCCAATGAATTTGTTGGAAAACGTGGGGTTACTGGTGTAGATGCATATTTGGTAGTTAGCATCTATATTTGGTAGTTGTGTAAAAATAGGAATGTGTGAATATGTATTCCTAGGATTGTGGAAGAGTATAATCCCTTAAATATGGGGATTAAAATAGTTAGTCCCTTAATTATATGGATTGATTTTGGAAGATGTTTTCTATTTATTGCAGCAGCTTACTGTATAAATATGCCGGTTGGCAATGGAATGATAAGATTAGTTTTTACCATTTCAAAACAGAATTATTATGTGATAGTTGCCCCACTCCATAGTTTTATGTTTGTGGCGGAGGGAACATATCAGGTTTAACATCTTAGCATCTCCTTCTATGATGAATAGGTTATTGGAAGGCTTCTTTTACAGTTCTAGGAATTTCTCAGAGAGGATCCGCTACTTCCTGTGTATCATTGGTTGAAATGATAAGTAGGATAGTATAGAAAGTAGAAGGATTGGGTATCATTAACTTCCAAGCAAGCTAGGAAGGACTGGTTGTTTCTCATCGTTAGTTTGCAGATCATTATAACTTTTGTTACTCTTTCAAGTGATTATCAGTGTTGCATGCACTCTTCTAAATGGATGACACGTTTGTATTGTACCTGCATCGGATTCTGTTACTCCAGAGATTCTGATACTCCATTTTCTTTAGGTATAGAATTGAAAAAAGGAAATATTCTAATAGCATATACTTTTTTACAAATGTGCACATGAGTCCATGTTTTGTCGTCTTGCCAAGTCAGACTCTTGGACATGTGTTGGTTTTTGACTCCTGTATCCATGTCCATGCAACACCAAAACCGAGTTATCTGAATACCAACAAAGACTAGCTTAGAATGGCTATCTGATGCAGCTTATGGCCCATAAAAGCCTGCAATAAATTGAAATTCAATTTCTGAAATCTCAGTCTATGAAAATAGAAAAATGTATGCAAGAAAAGGACTACTAAAGCATGGAAATCAGTAGGCCTAAGTTTCAACTAAGGTCAAGCAGTCGAAAGCTTAATTATTAAAGGCTCTTGGAACTTTAAAGGTTAGCTGGAAGGGTTTCTGAATGGATATGAGCTTTTTGTTGAAATAGGTTCCAAGAGATGTGACAGTCTGGCAGATTCTTTAGCTAGAACATGGTTTACAATTACAAGTGACAATCTTGTATATGGTACACCAAGGCTGGGAGGAGATTTGTGAAGATCTTTTGTTGTAAATCTGGTGTGAGCAGTAAAGGAGGGCTTTATTGGCATCCTTTTGTATTTGTTTATTTAAATTTGATCCATTTGTAATTGGATCTAATATGGATTGATCCCAAGCAATCTGCTATGATATGATCTAAATATTTAAGTATATATGCTTATATCTACATAAAATTAATATGTATCTTTTAGTAAGGTTTGTTTGATTGTTATATGTTTACTAAAGAGTCATTGGTTCAGGTGTTATGGAACCTATTTTTAAGTTACCTTGTTCATGGCATAGAATATTGAAGTTAGTTTTAATTCATTTGTTAAGTAATCTTATTCACAGTATAGAATACTGGGAGGTGGTGGAGTTCATGTGATTGATAGAGTTGCTGCAGCAGTTTAATCTGAATTCAGATGAGCAGGATATTATACTCTGGTCTGGAAACCTCAGGTAAATTCACAGTGAAATCTTTTCAGATTTTTTGCCTCCCTCCAATGCTGAAGTAGTCCCATGGGCTTGGGCGTTGGATCTGGAAAGTTAATGGCCTCTGAAAGTGAAGTTTTTCTTATGGTATGCAATTATCAACAGAATTCCTATTACAGACCACTTAAATAGAAGGGGTTTGTCCATCATGAATCAATGTAGGTTCTGTCAATCAGAGGTGGAAGATGTAGCTCATCTGTTAATCTGGTGTCCTGTTACCCACCATATACGGAGCCATTTTCTGCAACAGTTCAAGGTGGTGATGGTGTTTCCAAGGGATATGCCCTGTCTGATTGCAGCATGGCTGGCAAAAATTTTTAGTAGCAGGGGAAAGGAGATCCAGGCATTTGGTTCCTGGTGTCTTATGCTGGGTTATATGGCTGGAGTGAAACAACAATCTTCTATCAATCAGCCTTAGAGACTGATAGGTTGATTGGGAAGATAGAAAGGTGTCTGACTGAGTGGACCAGGGTTCTGAAGGAGTTCAGATGATGGAAGCAAGATCAGTTTATTTCTCAATGGGAAAGAATTCTTTTCATGGATACTGTAAATGATAATGAGTGAACGTCTTATGTAATCAGTATACTTTTTGTGGCATCTTTTTGTATAGCCTTTACTGGACTGTACAATCAGGGGGGTTTCTTTTGTATTTACTTTCTGTAATGAAATGCATCTTTTATCTTTCAAAAAAGTTATTAACTAACACATAAAATTTTGATAATTTTTAGTTTAATTTATTAATGATATTAAATATTCGAGTTTTACCAGAGTCTGATCTGTACCCAACAGATCAAATTTAGATCTAGACATATGCAATTTGGTTTGATCCATTTGCAGCTCTACTGGAAACTGCTATTCTTTGTATACCTGCGTCCTACTCTCTTTGGTGTAGGGGTTCTAGTTTTAACTTACTGAAATTCATATTATTGTTGCTGATGATAAAATGCTAACTGAGGTTGTGGCAATAGTTAGAATGGTATAGTATGAAGAAAAAATGGATGCTACAAACTGGATGGGATGCCAAATTAAGCACAATGGCTTCATCCTCTTCTTTGTAAACTCCGGATAGAGGCAAATTATAGGAAGACTCATGGTGGGGTGATAAGCCTTTAGAAGACTGTTAATCTAGCCTCTTTTCTATTTCCCTGTCTAGAAACAAAACCTATTTATCACTATCTAACTCCCTCTAGGGCTGGGCTGTCATGGGGTATTCAGTTTAGGTGAGGGCTTACAGACATATCCACAGCTTTGGACCTAATCAGTTCTTTGGACTTTGTCTCTCTGGGCTCATCCAAACCTCATTCTAGAATCTGGACACACACCCCTTCAGGTTTGTTCACCTGAGCCTCCTTTTTTCAAAAATCGTCACCTAGTCAAATTTCTCCTCTCAGACGTTCCTCGTAAAGGCAATTTGGATTCAGCTAGTTCCACTCAAGACCAGAGCTTTCTTTTGGGAGGTGTACCACCAAAACATTAACACTTGTGATGCTGTTGAAAAGAAGACCTTGGTGTTTATTTCTCCATGTTTGTTCCTTGTGTCATGCAAGCGGGGAATCTACACAGTATTAATCTCCTGCTAGTTTGTAGCTGGTATTTGGGAATGGATCATTGACCTATTTGGGTGTAGATGTAGAGGGCCTGATGACATTGAATCCCTCTTCAAGGGTTCTTTCTTTTCCTTATAATATGGAGATGCTTGAGGGCCACTACCCTATGGATGGTATTGGAGGAAACTAACAGCAGAGTATTCAAATGGAGGGAAAGGATTCAAGAAGCTGTTAAGAAATATATTCAAATAAAATCTGTGTGTTGGATTACAACTTCAAAGCTCTTTGTAGCTTTTTCTACCGAAGACATGCTTAGGAGATGGAGTGTGATAGTGACTACTCAAAGGAGCAGGGTCTCTATGCATTGGACCACACCAATAGTAGGAGAGGTCAAAGTGTCAAACTAAACTTTGATGGCTGCTGCTTGGGTAATCCTGGGGCATCCAGAAATAGGAGCATTTAGAGATCATAGGGGGATCATTTTTGGCTTTATTTTCAGGATCTATTGGTGAAGGGAAATCCATAAGGGCTGAGTTATTATCCTTGTTGGAATAAGATTGGCAAGGACAGTAAATTTGAGGAAATTTGTTGTGGTGGAATAATAGCTTGGGCTGTTTTGAAGCTTCTTGTGCATGACACGTTAGCATGGGTTTGGGGTAAAAGAGTACTTCAATCAGTATTCTTCCAACTGAGACAGATAAAGAACTAAATAGGGTAAGGTGTCATGTGCAGGAAGCTGCAAAACAGCCCAGGCTGTTCTTTCCAAACAGCAAAACCTTTCTGGGGGGGGGGG